TAGAATTTTAGTTATTTCCAATATAAGAAAACCCCTATGAAATTCGTTTCAGCCCACTGTGCGAAAATTCGACCTAATGCACCCCTAGACTATGTACCATTGGATAGGCCATGGAAAGAACTTCTAGACCCAGTTTTTACTTTGTTTCCAAATATGTTAGAATTTTAATTATTTTGAATATTCAAAAACCTATACGAAATTCGTTTCAGCCCACTGTGCGAAAATTCGACCTAATGCACCCCTAGACTATGTACCATTGGATAGGCAATGGAAAGAGCTTCTAGACCCAGTTTTTATTTTGTTTCCAAATATGTTAGAATTTTAGTTATTTCCAATATAAGAAAACCCCTATGAAATTCGTTTCAGCCCACTGTGCGAAAATTCGACCTATACCATTGGATAGGCCATGGAAAGAACTTCTAGACCCAGTTTTTACTTTGTTTCCAAATATGTTAGAATTTTAATTATTTTGAATATTCAAAAACCTATACGAAATTCGTTTCAGCCCACTGTGCGAAAATTCGACCTAATGCACCCCTAGACTATGTACCATTGGATAGGCCATGAAAAGAGCTTCTAGACCCAGTTTTTATTTTGTTTCCAAATATGTTAGAATTTTAGTTATTTCCAATATAAGAAAACCCCTATGAAATTCGTTTCAGCCCACTGTGCGAAAATTCGACCTAATGCACCCCTAGACTATGTACCATTGGATAGGCCATGGAAAGAGCTTCTAGACCCAGTTTTTATTTTGTTTCCAAATATGTTAGAATTTTAGTTATTTCCAATATAAGAAAACCCCTATGAAATTCGAAACAGTGCACACAGTGGGCTGAAACGAATTTCATAGGGGTTTTCTTATATTGGAAATAACTAAAATTCTAACATATTTGGAAACAAAATAAAAACTGGGTCTAGAAGCTCTTTCCATGGCCTATCCAATGGTACATAGTCTAGGGGTGCATTAGGTCGAATTTTCGCACAGTGGGCTGAAACGAATTTCATAGGGGTTTTCTTATATTGGAAATAACTAAAATTCTAACATATTTGGAAACAAAATAAAAACTGGGTCTACTAGAAGCTCTTTCCATGGCCTATCCAATGGTACATAGTCTAGGGGTGCATTAGGTCGAATTTTCGCACAGTGGGCTGAAACGAATTTCATAGGGGTTTTCTTATATTGGAAATAACTAAAATTCTATCATATTTGGAAACAAAATAAAAACTGGGTCTAGAAGCTCTTTCCATGGCCTATCCAATGGTACATAGTCTAGGGGTGCATTAGGTCGAATTTTCGCACAGTGGGCTGAAACGAATTTCATAGGGGTTTTCTTATATTGGAAATAACTAAAATTCTAACATATTTGGAAACAAAATAAAAACTGGGTCTAGAAGCTCTTTCCATGGCCTATCCAATGGTACATAGTCTAGGGGTGCATTAGGTCGAATTTTCGCACAGTGGGCTGAAACGAATTTCATAGGGGTTTTCTTATATTGGAAATAACTAAAATTCTAACATATTTGGAAACAAAATAAAAACTGGGTCTAGAAGCTCTTTCCATGGCCTATCCAATGGTACATAGTCTAGGGGTGCATTAGGTCGAATTTTCGCACAGTGGGCTGAAACGAATTTCATAGGGGTTTTCTTATATTGGAAATAACTAAAATTCTAACATATTTGGAAACAAAATAAAAACTGGGTCTAGAAGCTCTTTCCATGGCCTATCCAATGGTACATAGTCTAGGGGTGCATTAGGTCGAATTTTCGCACAGTGGGCTGAAACGAATTTCATAGGGGTTTTCTTATATTGGAAATAACTAAAATTCTAACATATTTGGAAACAAAATAAAAACTGGGTCTAGAAGCTCTTTCCATGGCCTATCCAATGGTACATAGTCTAGGGGTGCATTAGGTCGAATTTTCGCACAGTGGGCTGAAACGAATTTCATAGGGGTTTTCTTATATTGGAAATAACTAAAATTCTAACATATTTGGAAACAAAATAAAAACTGGGTCTAGAAGCTCTTTCCATGGCCTATCCAATGGTACATAGTCTAGGGGTGCATTAGGTCGAATTTTCGCACAGTGGGCTGAAACGAATTTCGTATAGGTTTTTGAATATTCAAAATAATTAAAATTCTAACATATTTGGAAACAAAGTAAAAACTGGGTCTAGAAGTTCTTTCCATGGCCTATCCAATGGTACATAGTCTAGGGGTGCATTAGGTCGAATTTTCGCACAGTGGGCTGAAACGAATTTCATAGGGGTTTTCTTATATTGGAAATAACTAAAATTCTAACATATTTGGAAACAAAATAAAAACTGGGTCTAGAATCTCTTTCCATGGCCTATCCAATGGTACATAGTCTAGGGGTGCATTAGGTCGAATTTTCGCACAGTGGGCTGAAACGAATTTCATAGGGGTTTTCTTATATTGGAAATAACTAAAATTCTAACATATTTGGAAACAAAATAAAAACTGGGTCTAGAAGCTCTTTCCATGGCCTATCCAATGGTACATAGTCTAGGGGTGCATTAGGTCGAATTTTCGCACAGTGGGCTGAAACGAATTTCATAGGGGTTTTCTTATATTGGAAATAACTAAAATTCTAACATATTTGGAAACAAAATAAAAACTGGGTCTAGAAGCTCTTTCCATGGCCTATCCAATGGTACATAGTCTAGGGGTGCATTAGGTCGAATTTTCGCACAGTGGACCGAAACGAATTTTACATAGGCTTTTCTTATATTCTAAATTACTAAAGTTTAAATAGTGATATGCAATGAAAGCGTAACATAGACAATGAAAGTCACTATAATACATAAACATACAAGCAATATATAAATATACATACACATTTTTGTACTTATATAAAAACATAAATAATTTCCACATATTTAAAAAAAATAGAAAACATACAAGTAATAAAACGCATTAACAACACAAAACATATTTACATTACAGTAAAATAAAAATAATATTTTAAGTAAAATTATACAAAATTACATAAAAACATAGCAAACATTATATAAAATTACAAATTAATATATTATAAAGAAGCCCAATGATGATGCGTGCACATGGATTAAAAATAGTGTTCTTGCGACAATAACTCCACCACCAAGAATTTACCTGTGAAGTAAATGTTTAAATTAGTTTAAATTTTAACATATAAATGTTTTCTCTTTATATAGTTTATTAAATTAATTTGTTATAAATTCGAATTTACAGTCACATTTAAATTAGTTAATATTTTGCCAAATAATTGTTTCCTTTTTATAAAGGTCATTGAATTTATTTGTTCTAAATTCAAATTTACAGTCACTTACACTCTGTTATATTGTATAACAAAACTGTCATACTGGACACAACCACACATACTGGTGGGTGTCTTCGCTTTTCAAATTTGAATTTATTTTCACGCACATAAATATATTGTTAGAATATTTTTTTATTTTTAATTCACGCCTTTTGTAAGACTCCACAGCGCTTCTAAGAGCTCAAAAATAATTTTTAAAATCCACGCCTCTTGTACGGACCTAAATACAATTTTTAAATAAAAAATCTGTTCATTTTTTTAATATTTTTTTATTTATTAAATATTTGTTGTTCGTGTTAAATATTCGTTTATTTATTTATGATTTTTTGGGGAATATATTTAATAACTACAATCATATATAATAATAATAATACAATATTATTAATAATTGTTAATAATAATGAATAATAACTATAAAAAGAGGGGAGACTCGTTTAAATATATTTTTTCTTAAAGCAGCATTTTGGTTATACGTATATAAAAAAGGCTTGTGCGAATAATTTTACTTTTTTCATATAAAGTAAAAAAGAAAATAATAATTATTTTTTCTTTGTAAGACAAATAGGTTTCAAACACTTGAGCATTATTATAAAGGGCAGAAAAGGGGGACTGGTCGTTTATAAATAAAAAAATAATACTTCGAATGGGGTTATGTATCGATGGGGTGGGTGATGGTAAAATAATTGAATGTTTTTTTTTAATGTCGACTTATTTTTTTCATGTTATGAATAATTTTTTTTATAAATATTGAGTTTTATAAGAAATTGAATTTGAAAATTATTTTTTTTTCGATAACATAGATTCAATATTGTTGAACAAATTATCAAAAAAGATTAAAAAAATTTTCAAAATTTTAATTTAATTAAAAAAAAATTAAATTAAATATACAATATCTCTAAATTTCGAAAAATAATATATTTTTTATTTTTTTTAGAATTAAAAAAATTTAAATATTCAAAACTATGTTTTTTTTTTTGAATTTTACAGAATTCTTAAATATTAAAAAACACTACAAATTCTGTAAAATTCGAAACATATTATTTCTTTTTTTAAGTTTTTAGAATCACTCAAAAATAATTTTTTTTTTTTATTTTTTAGATTTTTAAAATTTTCATTTTGGGAATTTTTTATAGTGCGTAATTTAATTCATATACGAATTAAATTAATATCATTGAAATCGTTAAAATATAGTTTTGTTTTCAATTTCTAGTTTGCATATTTTTTTGATTGTGTAGTTTTCATTTTGTATTGAAAACCAAAAATAGAAAAAGTCCATTAAACGCAGTTCAAAAAATATCGAAAATGGCAGAATTGGTTTTTCGAAAAAACCAAAAAAATTTGTCGACTTCACCAAAGTGATAGTGAAAGGTGTTTGTGTGTGTTGAAATCGAGGGGGCGGGTGGGAAGGTGACTTGTGGGCTTGAGGTTAGGTTAGCTTAGGTTAGTTTTAATTATAATTTGGAATTATTAGCTTAGCTTATGAATAATTTTCAATTATGCGTCTAGCATTTATAATAATATATGGAAATTGTTGTTGTTGTTGTAGTTGTTAGTTTTCTGTTCTTTGTTGTTGTTCGCTTCTATAAAATACAAATAATAAAAAAATGACGATTTTTTGTGCTGCAATTTCTTGGCTGCTTTCATTCCATTGTTCGATTCGAAATTTCACTTTATGAATTTGCCGTCTTACTTCTTTTTGCTTTTACCCAATGTCAGGGTGTGGTGTGAGGTGGCCAGTTGAGCCTTACGTCGCGTAAATTCCAAGAAATCTTCTTCCAATTTTTTACGAGACTCCTCCAGTTTACGTTTCTCCTCAGCATGATCCCGCTTGAGTTTTTCAAATTTGGCATGTAACTCTTTTTCGGATTCTTTAAGTTCTGCCTCCTTTTCTTTGACACGTTGAACAAACATTTGACGAACCTCTTCCTCTTTGGCCTGCAATTCGGCAAGATGATTCGAACGTTTGGCCTCAAAGGTTTGTTGAAATGAGATGGGTTTATTATCCGAATCAACATCGGAGAAGCCCATTTCTTCGAGACGTTTTTGGCGATACAATTCATAGTGTTTGGTGTGAGTCTTTTCGCGCATATCTTCCATATTGGTGCGGATCAACATTTCCCGCAATTTTACAAAATCACAATGGGTTTCATTTTCCACCTGAACGGTGCCCCAAGGATATTGGCGGGCACGAATGAGTTTATTGCCCACTTTGATAAATTCCGTGGAGCCCACCACCGCAAATGGTACATGATCATTCATGGCCTGATTGGTTTCGGCCACCGTTTCATCATCGGTGGGGAATTGATAAATGTGGACACCATTATTGGCCAATTCTTGCATGATTTTCGACTTGAAACGTTGCAATTCTGCCTTGGAGATGGTATCAGCCTTGGCAATGATGGGTATGATGTTCACCTTGCTATCCAATTTCTTCATGCAAACCAAATCCAAACTCTTGAGGCCATGACCGGTGGGACAAATGAAATACAAGCAGACATGGATGCGTGAATCATGGCAACCGACCAGCGAACGTTTGATTTTCAACTCCTCTTGAAGATAAGCCTCAAATTGAGCATCGATATAATCGACAACTGCCTTGAATGAGTCATCCTTGTTGATTTGATCGCCATAGCCTACGGTATCGCAAATTGTCAACTTCAGGCGTACATTGCTTTCCTGCAACTCATAAGTGTGAGCCTTCAATTTCACATTGGGCAGGGTATGGGAACTGGGTGTGGACTCAAAGCTGGTATTGAACAAAGTGTCCATCATGGTGGATTTACCCAAACCCGTTTCGCCGATACACATCACATTAAACACAAAGCCATTTTGCACCGATTTATTTACCAATTGATCGGGGAGGCTGTCAAAGCCCACATGTCCCGACTGTTTCAGCGAACGTAAATGGGGTTCTTTTTTTGCATAGATTTCCACTTCAGCTGTCATTTTTTCTTCTTCTTCTTTCTACTCCTTATTCACACTTTAATTCCTTTTTGTTCCAGACACACAAAAAATTTCAGAATTTCTTTGATTTCTAAATTAAATTTTTCTTTCTTCCGCTTCAATCGTTTGTTGGCTATTTCACTCTTAAACCTTAGCTGCGTTCAATACAAACTGAATTTTTATTTTTTCAATAATTATTTTTCCTTTGTTCTTCTTTCAACTGCCAAACAGACTGCATTCAGCAACACACACCACAGAATAAAACATTCATTACATTTCGTTATTTTTCGTCGTCGCTTTCTTTGCTCCACTTTTTAATTAACAGCCGCCAGCACACAACACTAGAGTTGTCTCTCTCCCTCTCACACACAGTAAATGGCTTGAGAGTTATTGTATACATTTTTCCGAGAGAGACAGACAGACAAATAAACAATGATGGGTGCTGCTGCTGCTTTGGCTTCATATGGTTAGCTTCGTTGTTTGACAGTTAACTTGAATTCTTATTGAGAGAGAGAGGGCGCATGCAGTGTGAGCATGAAAGTCATGTTAACACAAGCACTCTCTCTCCCAGTGTGTGTGCCAAACAACTGAGTGTCTCCCCATTCGCATAATGCCGTTTTGTTTATGTCTGCTCGGCTTGGTTTGGCTTGCTTGCCCCTTTGTGTTTTTTTAATGTAGTTGTTGTTGTTTAATTTAGTTGGTCTGTTTGTTTATTCTTGTCTGATTTGGGCATAAATTGTTTATTATTTCAATGGTGGATTATTTTGTTGTTGTTGTTTTATTGTTGGGGTAGACTCACAGGCAAAAATAAATTCGCAACTCCATTTGAAGTGTAGAAGAAAAAAGAGCGGAGACAAAGAGAACAATGTTGCCATATTGTAACAATGCTAATAAGACAAAAAAAGGAGGATTACAAAGGGATCGTTTATACGATTTTAAATATTTATATGTAATTTTTATAAAAGCAATGAATTATTTTAAAGAAAATATTTTCCAAATGCCTTAAAGGGGCGTGGATTTTTTTTAAATATTTGTTTTTGTTCTCAAGAGGCTTGGATTTATTAAAAAATATTTTTTTCAATAGTTTTCTGGGGCCTAATAGATGCGAATATTTTTCCGAGGCCCAATAGGGGCGTAGATTTCTTAAAACTATTTTTCAAAGCCTAATAGAGGCGTGGATTTAATGGAAGCAGCCTTAAGACACTACGCTCTGCCTTACACATAATGCTGATACCCAGATGCCATAAGTTCAGCATTGCGTTCAGAGCTGCTTGCTTTGTGTTCCTTGCGGTTCCATTAGAATCGGGGCGGCTCTTTGTATACACAGAAAAAGAATGGGCCTTAGCACATTATTATACATCCAGTGTATAGACAATGGTTTTAGCCCCCAAATTTTCCCAATGGGATTCTTGCATGCATAGAGTGCAATCTGCCCTCTCTTCGCCCGTTCCTCAGCGTTCCTGTTCCATCGTAGTTGACAGTCCAGGATTGTGCCAAGGTATTTTGCTTCGGGCGAGAGATGAGAGACGCGCTTACGTTTCCTAGTTAATCAATATCACCACGTCGTCCGAATAGGCTACGACTTTGATACCGTTCCCGTCCACTTGCTTAAGTACGTTGTTGACCAATGATGGGTGCCTCTAAATACTGTTTTCGTGATTTCAGTTTCCCCCACATTTGAATTCATAATTCTGCTAGTTAGCATTTTATCTATTCAACAAGTGCTGTGCTAACTTTTTTAAGAGAGTGGTTTACGGATTGAATTCTTCTTCTATATCTATAAAAAACAGAATTACGATTTGAAGAGTGTAGCCGGAGAAATTTTGCAACCCCTATTGGCTTTATTGTGCCCGAATGGAGCAGATTTGTAGCCTGTAGCCTGTTAATGCACTAATTTCATTGCGTAACGACTCAATTTCCTCCGTCACATAGCTCGTCACAAAAATTTATTTCTGTCAGCGACGAGATAAAGGAAACACAGTCTAATTTTTTTATGAGTCAGTTTAGCTTTATTGTTATAGACTGTGGAATGTGTTTCGGCACAGTAGGCACTGGCGATAAGACCGGACGAATATAGCGATATCGCCGGGTAAAACTGCTGGGAACAGCCTCCTGGATGGCTGGAGTGCCGGTGCGTTCTGTAGACAACTCACTAGCGCACACTGCTGTGCCTCACCCTCTTCAATAAATGGAGTTCTGGGGTGGCCTGGTATTCTAGTGGCTGGCGATAACTCACTAGGGTACGTAGAATATCCTGGAAGTGGTTTTTCCCAACCCACTTCTCCGTGGTTGGTTTCAGTGCCCAAGGGAAGCACACTAAATAGGATGTCCTCCTTCGCATCGTTTCTTCGGAATGTAGTTTAATTACCTGTTGGAGGTTTTAATGGTACTTCTTCTTCTTGACCTTGCGATGATCGATCTTCTCCACCGACTGTCCCCGCAGTATTCCTTGTTCGCGCTCATATAGCACGACGTCAACAACCTTAAGAATCACGCTGTTGTTGTGCATTGCCCCTCAGTGATGCATTGCAGTCCGCACGCACGCCCTGTTTTGTTTGTTAACGACGAAGCCAGTGCGAGTTCCTCGACGTGTGTTTTGTTTATAGTTGTTTACAACACAGCAACGCCCTTTGACGTGAGTTTTTTTGCTGCTTGTTTACATACCTCAGAAAATTCAACGGTAAGTTGTTTTGACGCCTCACTCGTAAAGAACTTCGCAGGGAATTCGAAACAAATTGTTTTGGGAATTCAGATCAATATAATTAATTCATTAAATTCCATCATCCGATGGAATGATGTATTGGATGACTTCACGGTAGCACCTGAAGTCCTGAAGAATGCGCGAGGAGGTGGATCGGTCAGCAGGAACTAGTCGAAAACACATTATGTTGCTAAATTCACAGCATGCTGGAGATAATTGAGGCTCGTAATTTCGATTATTTTTCGTTGCTTGTAAGGATCTTCACTGTGTTAACCGTGGTGAAAGATTCTAAATCGGCCTATAGGATTTACCAGCATATAGAATTGTAATGACGCGGTCAAGTTTCCAAATATCAGGAAATTCTCAACCGTGAAATGGATAATTTGAAGATTTTGATCAGATAACCCAACTCTGTTGGAACACGTGGGCTGAAGAGGACAAGAAAATAGATGACCTATATCATGGGGGTCCCTGCCTGCAAGTGGGACAAATGACTTGGATACCGGCGACTTTCGCTTGATACACATTTAGGATGACTAACCATACTGACCGAAGCTGTGCTAATATAGTTCTTGTTCTTCTGGACAGGGTCTTCTCAGCTTCGGCTACCGCTGGAGGTTAACAGTTAAGGACACGATTTGGTTAATGCTCATTGATTTGCTTGAAAACTGTCTGGTGAGCAGAAACTGGCGCTTGATACACATTCAGGATGACTGACCATCCTGACCGAAGCTGTGCTAATTAAGTTCTGATTCTTCTGGGCATCGTCTGCTCAGCTTCCAACCTACATCTACAGCTGGAAGTTGGCAGTTAAGGACATTGATAGCTTTGGACTCTCTGAGCGTGTACTGTTCTCAGCGATGCAGATAGTGACAATCGGTCGATGTCAGATGGAATGATTTCCTGGATGTCATTGCTGTATCGCTTGATGTCCTTCCGGATGTGTCGAGGGGATGGATTCTGAACTACTATATTATGGTTGGGATGCGTGGCCAGATGGCAGGAATTGCGAGCAACACATTATGTTGCTGCACTGACAGTATCCTTGCCTCCTGATACAGATGATCCACACTCGTCACCCAAATACATTCGGTTACGGTACGTAGGGCATTATTCTGTTTGGTTTCAAGCATTCTCCATTGCGAATCACTGATGAACTAAGTCCAAACTGGGGCAGAGAAGTTGAGGACAGATCTACTAACAGCTTTGTATGTTGTCAGAAGGAGGCGCACCTGATGACCCCATGTGGTGCCCGAGATGACTTTGAGCACCTTGTTTCGCTTCTGGACTGGAGAACGTCAACAGGCTATCAAAAAAGACTACTAATTTTTTAGGATTCCGGACCGATATGTTTAGTTGCCGCTTGACCTCCTTTGTGCACGATGTGAATATAGTGACAGTTGATGTAGGTGGGGAAAATCTGCAAGTTTCTATCCTGAACGAATGTGGCTTGTTGAGGCCATTGGCAATGTGATTAACGACATCTGTGTGAGGTCTGTGGCGGTACTGTGTGATTTTCTGAAGACATGTTTGATGTTTTTCCAGCTTTAGGTTCTCCGTCATGGATGACAGCAGAAGGGACTTCAAAGCCTTCCCTAGTGGTTTTGATAATTTTTAGGTAGGCGGATACGGTATTCAGTTTGTATTCAAAGTATTAAATTGCAGATAATTTAGATAAAAACACGTAAGCAAATGTCGTGCAATTGGGGAAACTTAATATGCCAAATTAAAGCCAAATTGATTGAAAACGCGCTCAAAAAACAGAATAATGGGGTTATCCTAAAAATGGACCAAGGTCATTAAATATATATATTTTTTTCAAAAATCCACGCCTTTTTAGGTCATCAAAAATATTTTTTAGGAAGTTCTCTCCTCTTTTTGGGTCATCATTTTTTTAATTACAATTTTTTTTTATTAAATCAAAAAATCTTTTAATAACAAAAATATTTGTTAATTTAATTTTTTCATTTTAAGCACTTTAATTTAATTTTATGATATTTTTTGTTTATTTTTCTTATTTCCGCCTTTTTACAAAATATAAATAAAAACATTCGCCTGTAAATACGGCAATTTGTTGCATTCCTGCATTGGCACACAGGTGGCAACGATGTATAAACAAATGGCAAAATACACTACACAGCATGCTCTCGCTCTCTCATTGCATATACCGACAATCACTTGACAACACAAAGAGCTGAGGCGTACGTACGGTACAACACATGAATGCAAAAGGCAGAGAGAGAGACAGAGACACACAGATGGAGTCACACACAGAACAGAATATAGTGGAGATGAGACGTAC